TTTAAACTTATGTCACAAGAATGTATGAGAGGACAAAATTGAATGAAGAAGAAAAAGCCATTAGCAATTCATAACCGTAAAAACCCAGTTATGCCCTTTCCTTACAACGAAACGCACTAACTCCTTTCCTTGTCCTACCTCACCATTTAGCAATACGATTCAGTATGTATGATGGGAAAAAGAAAAACGACAATGAGGATAACGACGTACACTATGAAAGGTGAAAATTAAATGATTAAAAAAAAAAAGTAATGCTAAAACTGAAAAGATAAAAATGACGAGAAACCGGATGTTTTAACTAAATTCAAGAAAATAGTAAAGAAAAAAAGACTTCATAAAGTTTTAAATTAATTCTTTATATTTTGTTTAAATAAAAAACATATATCTCATCCTTCTAAAAAGTTTCAACTTTTTTTAATTTTCTATCTTAGACTATAAAATTAAAAGTTAAATATAAAAAGTTAATTAAATTAGACGTATACAAAAATTAATTAAAATAACACATGTTAAAACCATAGTAAAATTGTGCAGAATAAATTATATTATTATTATTATTATTATTATTATTATTATTATTATTATTATTATTATTATTATTATTATTATTATTGATAAAAATAAAAAAAGTTGAATGTTTTAAATTATGTTATTTTAATAAAAAATCAAATATTTAAATTATCTGAAAGTTATGTAATAATAGTTACAATTTGGGTTTTATGTATGACTAATAATTTTGTTTATTAAAAATATAAATTTAAATAAAATTTATTTAAAAAATGATAACATTCATTAAATAGATTAAAATTTATGATTTAAATATAATTTACAAATTATTTTTAAGTACAAAAATTGTATTAATAATTAATTCATGATCTTTATATTTTTTTATGCCATGCTAATTTATTTTAAAGTAGGAGAGGCGAAATTTTTTAATAAAGAAAAGAAAAAAAGGAGGAGAGGTTAGAGAAAATATTTTAATTTAATATATATTTAATCAAAAGAGAGAGAGAGAGAGAATGAAAGATACAATATTTTATTAAAATATGTATTTGGTCAAACGATGTGTTTTAGAATTAGTTTACCTTTTTACTTTTGTAATATTATAATAGTCGTGTTAAATAAAATTAAAACAAAGTAATATTTTAAAATATTTATATTTATCAATTCATAAATTATATAAATAATCAAACACAAAATATTTTATATACTCTAAAATCTATTAAATTACAAATAAAATATTGATAAATTTTATACAATCATTATTTGATCAATCAATAATTAGATATATTTTTTTTTATCCATCTAATTCTATAAAATATTTATAAAATTAAATTTTAAATAATATATAACTCATATACTATTATATATATATATATATATATATATATATATATATATATATATATATATATATATATATATATATATATATATATATATATATATATATATATATATATATATATATATATATATATATATATATAACAACAACACATTTTAAATTAATTAAGTTCTTACAAACAAAATAACAAACAAAAAAGAATAATTGTTATACACTATCAGTGTAAAATATTTCACACGGTCAGTACATCACAACCATACACAAGTAATGTTTTATATCTGATTAAGAAAAAAGTCAAACATCTATAAAAATGTAATGATTATGATTCACTTACAGTATAAAACTTCTTTACATTGTCGGTGTATTTTAATTAAATTCTAAATAAAAATGAACAAAATTAAACAATAGAAAAAGAAAGAAAGATGAGTCATATTGATAAAACTAATAGAGTTGTCATAAAAAAAAGAAGAGAAATTCTAATAAAGGGACAAAAATTAACACATAATTTTGATCAAAGACAATTTAAGATTTTATAAAAAATGAGGATAATTTTATGATTCTAATAATAATAGATTTTATTATAAATCCTCTCTCTCCACTTCACCTCAAATCCCCTTATTTGGGGTGAATGAACAACTGCTCGAGGAAGAAATCTGATTACCTCCAATCCATCTCATAAAAAAGTTAAACTAAACATATTTAACTTAAAATATTTCACCCCTTAAAAAATGTTTTAATTTAAAAGCTTCGTCTGAACGACATGGTCATTGGAATTATGAATTTATCAAAAAGAAAAAAAAAAGTGGAGGAAGTATGTTTTGAGGGTAATAGACTTGGAACTATTCACAGTAAGCAATAGGAAATTGATTTCGTTTGTTTTTAATCTGAAAAGAGTGGCAAGGTTATCAACTAAAGATATGTTTGATTTAATTCAACCTCTTAATGGTAGAAAAAAAATAAAAATTTGTCTAGAAATTCATCGAGGTCTTCTTCTAAGGATAAAGAGCAGGTTTTTTTGTTTGTGGGTTCTTAGGCTTCAAGCTCTAATGAGGATTGGGAAAATTGGATGGCTGTTAATTATAAAACTCAGGAGGTCGTTGATGATGTTTGTGTGATTGGAAAATTGGATGGAGGTTTATTGACATTATGGGATATTAACGAGGTGGTGGTGAAAAATTCAATAAGTATTGAGAATTTTTATTTATTTATAAAATGGTGTTTTAGAAAGTCAGGGCACGAGTTTACTATGACATCAAAATCATACTCAGAATTTAGAAGGTAAAATCAAAGCGGTAAAAGACCTTATTTGTTTTCTTGAATGTTAAAGGAGATGAGTATGATCTAGAGTTGGAGGAGAAGGGAAAGTTACACTGTTTATCGACAAGAATTCTTTCTTTATCCAAATTACATTAAAGTATCAAGTGGACAAAATCTAGATTATTTTGGCTAAAGGAGTGAGATGCAAACTCAAATTTCTTCCACGGTATTATGTCTTCGAGGATAAAATCGAATGCTATCATCTCAACTTCAGTAATGATGTACAAGTAAAGGGTGTCAATGATGTGAGGAGTGACGTCTTTAATCATTTTCATAATCATTAAACTCAAATTTCTTCCACGGTATTATGTCTTCGAGGATAAGATCGAATGCTATCATCTCAATTTCAGTAATGATGTACAAGTAAAGGGTGTCAATGATGTGAGGAGTGACGTCTTTGATCATTTTCATAATCATTTTCAACCGACAGAGGTTGATCGGCCAGGGATAGAAGACATTTCTTTTAAATTAATCACTATGTAGAAGGGGTCGGTTTTGACTCTACCATTTTCAAAGGTTGAGATTAAGTAGTTAGTTCGGGATCATGATAGTTTTAAGAATCTTGGACCAGATGGAATTAATCATAATTTTATCAAAGACTTTTGGGATGTCTTAAAAGATGAATTTATGTGTCTTTTTTGCTGATTTTCACCGTAATTGTAAGTTGACGAAAGGAATAAACAATTATTTTATTGATTTGACTCAAAAAGTTGATAGTCCTCAGCGTTTTTCAGATTTCTGACATATTTCTTTGGTTAACTGTTTGTATAAAATTCTATCTAAGGTTTTTACTAATAGGCTAATACATGTGATTGAAAGTGTTACTTATGAGTCTAAAAAGCCTATAATTCGGTGGATTGGAGGCATAGTTGTAAAAACCGGACCGGACCGGTTGAACCAATAATCGGGCTAGTAACTGGTCTGGTTCAATAGTTGGATCGCCTTTGTCATCAAACCGGTCAAAACCGGTGCAAATTGGGTTGGACCGGAAAAATCAAAAAACCGTCGGTTTCTGTAAACCGGCGGCTCAAATGCTTTTTTTTTTTTTTTTTTTAATTAAAATTTTAAATGCAAACAATGTCATTTTGAGTTATAAAAACTTAAAAAAAAAATTTGTTATCATTATTTTGAAATAATTTTACCTCCTTAAAACTAAACTTAAGTAGACATTGGAGTTATTTTGTTATAAATTATTCAATTATATTATGTTGCAATTAGACTTTATTTGCAATTAGAATTTGTAATTTTGTACTATTTTATTGTATTTGATACTTATGTATTTAAATTTAAATTATGAACTTCAGAATTTATGATATGATATTTTCAAAAAAATTAATTGCTAATAATATTTTTTTAGAGTCTGAATTATCCAGTTCAACCGGTTTTTGTCTTTAAAAATTAATGTACTAATAATATTTTCAAAAATAATTAATGTACTATTGTCAAAACAATAAAATTATTAATTATAAAATTTTCAAAAAATAATTAAAAGATAATTAATTATGGTTTTTCAAGATTAAAAATATAAACTAAATATAAATAGAGTCTATTGTCAAAGATAAACTAAAAAATACCTATATTAATTATAGGTGTTAATTTGATTAAAAATATAAACTAAATATAATTAAAAAAAATTCATACAAAAATTGTGATATATATTTAAAAATACTAAATAACTATTTGTTAAAATATTTTAAAAATTAACACACATTAATGAAAATATGATATATATTTTTTATTATATATGATTTGAATTGATTAAATTTATATTAAAAAAATGATTAAAATGGTTGATATATAGAAATTAATTCAAAAATATAATGTCAAATAAAAATCGGATTAAAAAATTGTCAAAAAGTCACTCGTTATCGTTTTAAAAAATAAACAGATATACTTGAAAAAAAAGAATATAGAAACTTTACCTAGAAATAAATACTAATAAATATATATTTTTATTTTATCCATCTAAAATCAAATTTAAACCTTGAAAATTAGTTTAATTTAGCGTAAGAAAACGATGCGAACGTTAAGAAAAACCCAAATTATCGCGTAGTCTCGTGAGTCGTGTTGGTCTCGTCATCATCTCACGAGTCCACTACATTGAAAATTGCGACAAAACGCAACACAACTTAACTTGATACGACATTCCACTTTGGCAGTTCCTTCTTCTTCTTCTTCGGCCACCATCACCACAACACAACACAACCATAACCTCTTTTCCTTTTCTTCATCCTCATCCTCATCCATTCTCTTACTCAAAAATTAACAACAACAAAAGTGAAGAGTTTTGATTTTTTCTATAACCCTTCTTTTTGATTTTCGAATAAAGTGAAGGAAAATGGAAATGATGCTTTCTCGTTTACCTTATCATGATTCTCTCAAATTGTTGGAGGCTGATATTCACCATGCCAATGCTTTGTATGTTTTTTTTTCTTCTTGTTCTTATGATTTTTTTTTATATATAATAATAATAATCAAATTTCAAAATTTTGAAGAAAAAAAATAAGGGTTCGTTGTTGAAATTGAAAGGGTTATCACTTATCATCACGTTTAATATATTTTCTAGTTTTTAAGGATGAGTTTGATGGTGAATTCTTTTTGTTTGGTACTAGGTTTGATTATGTTTTTTCTTCTTCTAGGGCTGCTGCAATTCCAAGAGCAAAGGGTGGAAGTGTTTTCCAAATGAAATTGGTTTACAGTCATTTGGCTCCTCTTTTTCTGTTGTTGTTACAGTGGATGGATTGTTCTTGTTCATGTTTTCTTCATAGGTATCTCAACCTCTTCCATATAATTATATACAAGGTTAGTTAGTTCCTCAATGTAGATGTTTTTTATGTCGTTGTTTTTGTTTTTGTTTTATGTTTTATGTTTTATTCTTTTTCTGTTTAGGAATAGGTTCCTCAGTGTTTGTTTGTAATTGAATTTTAACATTGATACATGTTTTTGTTTTTCTTTTGTTGTTATCCTTGTTTGTTGATTATGGTGTTCTCCTTTATTGCTACCATCAAAGGTACATAATGATGGAAGACCAAGTATAACTTCGCGTGGAAGAAAAGCAACCATTCAGGAATTTTATGGTGTGTGAACCTTTTGACTTTCAAAAGACACCTTTTGTTGTTGTAGTTATTTCAACTCCCAACAAGAACAACAGTGTTCTAATTTTGTGTCTGCCATAACTAATTTCATACTTTTTTGTTGTTGTTGTTGTGGCTTTAGCTGTTATATTGCCGTCTCTTCAGCGGCTTCATGGTAGTTTGGAGAAGTTGGAAATTTGTATGAAAGGTCACTCTACCTTAGAAAGTTCGAGTTATGGCAAGAAGATGATTGAAGCAAATGCCAAACTGAATAATGTTGATCTGGAAAGGGAAGATGAATGTGGGATTTGCTTAGAACCATGCACCAAAATGGTTTTGCCTAATTGCTGTCATGCTATGTGTATCAAATGCTACCGCAAATGGTAATCACTTTATACTATGCACGGCCAGTGTAAAGATTTTTCGCACTATCAACCATTCATAATCGTTGTATTGTGATGTTGCAGGAACACAAAGTCAGAGTCTTGTCCGTTTTGTCGCGGAAGCATAAGAAGAGTTAATTCTGAGGATCTATGGGTACTCACATGTAATGACGATGTAGTTGATGCTGAAACAGTTTCAAAAGAGGATTTGTTGCGATTCTACCTTTATATCAACAGCTTGCCTAAAGATTACCCAGACGCGCTTTTCTTAATGTATTATGAATACCTGATTTGATGATTTTTTTTTTAATGGAGTAATGAGAAAAATGTACAGATTGGGAAATCCAGGCTGCAAATGTGAATAGAGTCTGGCTAGAAATTTCCCTAATCATGTCAGGTATGGCTTTTGCTAAGATAGATTTCTGGAGTTGTCCCGGAATAACAACTCTTAGCCTTTATATCTCCTATGTAGACAATGTAGTCATGTAGAGTAATATTAAAATTAACTTTGAAGCTTTTATTTGATTTCTAGTAGTAATAGTTGATCCATTGTCTATGTCTGCATGCTTATTCAAAAAGAGTGATACTGTAAACCAAAAGTTTTGTGCCCATGAGACTGACTAATCACTAATCCAAGAAGACCAATGTGCAAAACTCAGTGAACTGATCTAACTTAGGGATTGTTTGCTTTGCACTTAGAAAATTCGAACTTGGGATGTTGAGCACATTCTTAAAGTCTGGAACCTTCACCATTAGGCCAATCCCCAGGTTAATCGGTGGTTGAATGTTAGTTTTGGTTTCTTTGAAGAAAGGAAAATGTGACCATGAATCTAGACTTGATCAATTCATGCACTTTGTGTATTTTCTTTTTTTACCATTTCTTTTCACCTAACTTGTTTGAGGAAAAGTTCACCTACACAATATTATTGTTTATACACTTTCATTACTATCTCTTTAATCCCTTTCATTAAGGACAAGAACTTTATTTATTTTAACATGTGATGCCTTTCAAAGTTCCCTAATTTATGGCTCCAGTATAACTCATACCGGCCCTAGTAGTGTTAAAAATTCAATTTGAGAGGCGGTTCATTTAATTTTAAAGATGATCTTACAAAAAGGTGGTCCATACTCAGATGTTAATTAGATAAACTTTGCGGAATTTAACCAAACAAGTCATAAATTTCCTATCACTGTTATGAACTAATTGTTAGCATTTCCATCTAGAACCAAACCTTTGAAACGGTTGCTTTCTCTTTGTTTTGAATTAATATGACATCAACAATAATGTTCACCAAATAAGAAAAGGAATGAATCCAATGCCGACCAAGAATGTATTTGAAGTGGTCAATGTCTTCCCTTATTACTTTTCTTATATTAAAGTTAATATATGAATTTGGTCCAAAATGTTTACTAAAGACCTGAAAAGATTAAGTTTAAAAAAAGTTTTAAAATGTGAGTGTAACTGTAAACTTTTGTCCTGATTTTTTTAAATTGGTATTCTTATTTTAAATTTAAACAATTTTGATATCTCTATTATAAATATAAATAATTTTGGTTCCCTCTCATATTTTTAGCATTTAAAATTAACGATGTTTTCATTTTTAAAATGACAATTTACTTGTGAAACATGACAAGTCATTAACATATTGTTAAACTTTATAGATAAATAATATAAGTTTAAAAAATGAACATTCCGTCCATTTTCTATGAAAGAATGTTAGAGGGGACTTGTTTGAATTTAAAATAGGGGATCAAAACTGTTTAGATTTAATATAGGGAGATTAATTTCGTTAATCAAGCAAAATTGAAAGACTAAAACTGTAATTTAGCCTATGTTTTTATATATAATATTATTATAACGATGTTCGATATAGAAAGGAAAAAAATAAAAGCATTCAAAGTGATTCACTTTTTTAAAAATTGTTTAATGAACTTTATTTCACATTTGTATATTTCATAATTTTTAGTTTAGCCGAAATATCTATTTTTAGTCTTAGTTGATGTGGTCGTGCAGGAGTCCAGACAGAACATATAGGTTAGTCCCTAATAGATGCCGGATGACCGGGTTAGTAGCCCACCCTAAGGGTGTGTTTGGTTCGGGGTAGATGGAAGGGAGGGGAGGGGAGGGGAGGGGAGGGGAGGGGAAATTTTTAATTAAATATGTTTGGTTCACATTTTAGGAGGGGAGGGGAGGGGAGGGGAGGGGAGCAAAATCCCTCCAAAACACACTTTTTGGTTCCCTCCGAAATGGGGGGATTTGGAGGGGAGGGGAGGGAATATGAGTTTTGATATTTAAAAATTATTATATTTACTAAAATATCCTCAATTTAATTTTATTATTTCAAAACTATTTGTTATCTTTTGTGTTACTGTTTTTTCTCGATTGTTTTAATCAATTTATTATAATTGTTCTCCACCTTCAAATTATTTTATAATTTTTATAATTAATATAAATCATAATCATTGTCTTTTTATTATTAAAAAATTATGTTTCGTTATATTCGTTTTTTTCTTTTAATTTTGTTATGTAATCTATCATATTTTCTTTTATATCAAATTGTAAACCATATCATTTTATTTATTTTTGTTTATTCATTTTATTAAATATTTTGAACCATTAATATTTAGTAATAAGTTATTTTATATATTTGTTTTGTTATATGATTCATCACAATTTAAACGATGTTATTGGCATATAGTTTAATTTATGTTAGAAAGTTATAAGTCGAACCGATTGTACTCAATTTTTTAACTTTATGTGACAAATAAATATTTTTTTAATCACTCAATATTAGAAATTTTATTATCAACAAAAATACGCACGAATTTTTCACATTTTAATATCATATGACTTATATAAGATCATAAGGATTAAAATGTAAATTATTAATAAAACCCCTCCCCTCCCCTTCTGAACCAAACACACTTTTAATTAAAATCCCTCCCCTCCCCTCCCCTCCTCTCTTTTGAACCAAACACTTATTTGATTAAAAAATTCCTTCCCTTCCCCTCCCCTTCCCTCCCCTTCATTAAAATCCCTCCCCTCCCCTCCCCCTCATTTGAACCAAACAGACCCTAATGGTTAAGAGGCAGTCAAAGGGTCATATAGAGGTTACGAAATTGATGATTAAACCGTTACAAACTCATAATTAATAATTATTAGTGAGACGACGGACATTACCTTGAGCATTCAAGAATGAGAAACACATGTGCAACTCATTATGACCCGCTATGTAAGGAGTTAGAGGGTTGAAGGGAAGATTATATAAGAGGCTCCAAAGAGAATATCGGGGGGGGGGGGGGGGGGGGGGGGGGGGGGGGGGGGGGGGGAGATACACTAATATAGAGAAAACTTGAAAATATGGTGGTCATTCTTCTCTTCTAATAGAAACCTCTCAAACATCTGATTTTCATTGCGTTTGTGGTTAACCTGACTCGCTTTGGGGAGATTATTCAAAAATCTTTATTAGGAACATGTGGCACCAAACTGCTTATTGGAAAATGTGATATATAGCCGTTAGTCTCTTATTAAAGGTTACTTACAAGATCGACCAGAAAATCTTAGGACATAGTGCTAAAAGCTTTTATTTATAGTTTGTGTAGAAATGTAAAGAATTTTGACTTGGTCGAAATAGTTGAGTAAAAGTAATGTGAGAGGTGATTTCGACAATGTTACAAGGGTAGAAATTGGTAAATCAAGTGTAAAATGACAATGACATTAAAAGGAAAATGAAAGCAGATTGACAAAGAATATAAAATGAAATAAAAAGCTTTCCATTTGAATAGAAATGGTGTTTCAAGATTCATATATTTTCTTAGTGAAACTCGTTTCTCTTTACGTTGGGTACTTTGAGTCTTTTTGAGTTTTTCTGAAGTGAAATCAAATGAACATCTCGAATCCTAACACTATAACTCCTATTTATACAGGTGTAAAAATAACAATTTCATAACGTTCGTCTCTTTAGCCTTCGCCATGTAGTTTCTTACATGTTTCCTGCTTCTAAATGTTTTCCACGTGTTCTTTGGAATAAGACGAAAAAGTAGTTATTCATTTTGAACAAAACTCTTCTTCGTGCCCAAATAACTGCTGATCAACGCATTTTGCTGATGCCGAAAACTTGAATAACAGTGTCGTCGAAATGTTAGAGGGATTACCCATTTTTCCTAAAAACATATTAAGTCCCATTTATCTCTCATCTTGAGATGTCAAATATTGCAACATAACATGTCGACAAACATCTAGTTAACCTCAACTTGTTTCAAGTCTTCTTATTGTGCTGAGATTTTTGCCTTTGTCGAAAATCTTAGCTAACAAATTACCCCCCAAAAGGCCTCTTTCGACGAAAAGGGGATATGGGTGTTTTTGACTTTCTCATACACTATTTCAGCTAGTGGACTGGCGTCATGGACATCATAATCATTCTGTCTCAACTGCGAAAAGGGCCGGCGAAAACAAACAGAAGAGTCGCCACCGAACGCTATTTATTCCAAAGAGATGGAAAGGAAATGATCGAAGAAAACCTAAAAGAAAGGAGAAGAAAAGGTCATCGCAACCAAATCTTGGGTTCGGAAGTCGGTTACACAAGGGGAAGGTATGAGCACCCCTCACGTCCGTTGTACTCACTCCGATCCACACTTGTTGTCTAATTAAAAGGTGAGTTATCTAAAAACTACTGCTAAACGGGAAAGGGAAAAGAAAAAAGAGTCTCAATAGGACATTGCCACCCTATGTCTACGTATTCCCTCGTGCAATGGAAAAGTCAGAGTCACCTTAGTTCGAAAAACTACGGGTGATGGGGGGATGGTTGCTCACCAAGACATCACCGTCTTGTGCCTACGTATCCTCATCTAGTATGAGAAATTAGAGAAAACGTAGTTCGGGTAAACTAGACCACTGATTGGTTAAGTGTGTTTTTTTATGAGCGACGTTAAGTTCCCATTCTAGCAGTTAGGGTTGATGTCTGTTTGTGATAGAGCAGAAAAGTAACATACTCTTTTCTGAAAATGATTTTGAAACAAATCCCGAAGGATAAAAAAGTTTGAATTTGGTTTAGAAGTTTTAGAGAAGTGAATTGAATTTGTTTGAGATTCACGTTGCACTAAAGACTATGATATAGAAGCGAATGCGTCGTATATCGCCCAATGGGCATACACTAAACACTCTAGACAAGTGAGGAGAAACCCCTCACTCATTATTTCCCATATACTTAAGGCTCGTGGTGCACAACGTTCATCATTCAGTATTAAGTGTCTTAAAATTGTTTGAAATGAGAAGAGAAGACACAAAAGAAAACA